TCAGGTGGATTCTTAACCACTGCGCCACCAGGGAAGTCCCAGTATGACTGTCTTGAATCTGAGTTCCTTACTCAGAAGTCAACTTTTCCCAAAGTATTACACTATCAATGTTATGATTGAAACTATCAGACTTAGTTATGTGCTATGTTATCTTGCCTGATTTTCAAATTAAAATAGACTTTTTATCTTTAGTTATATCACTTATAATTAAATCTAAAGTGTATGACCAGTTTTAATGCAAAAAATATATTTTAAGTGTCTGAATACAAAATGCTTCCTTGTTACTACATTAAAAAGTAAAGAGAACTAGTTTGAAGAATAAATTTTTATCAGATTACTATAAAATACATTTTCTCTCTCTCTCCCTCTCTCTCTTTAAACAATTTCTTTGTAAGTGAGATTATATAGTAAAGATGATGAACCAGCTGTAAAATTACAACTACTACCACATAAACATGATATCATCACCCTTCTTGGTGTTGGAGGCCACTGGGTAACGACAGAAGAAAACCTGCAGGTATTATCAGAAACAATAAAGCATTACTGATACACCAAAAGGATGCAATTAACAAAGAATAATGCTTAAGTCTTTTAGCAAGATGTGGCTAAATTTGTATAAATTCTGAATTATATCCTATTTTTAAAGAAATGTAGCTTTATTTGTTTTAACTTTTAGCTGTTGGCCAAATGTTGAAATATAGTGCTTAGCAGAGGAGTTCATTTAACTTTTATTTAGTGGTTTGGAAGTAGTGACATGAATTTTTTAATAGTGTTTCAAATAAGATTTTTTTCCTTAGTAACAAACATTCTTGTTGACATATACTTAAAATATTTCTATATAAAATTATGACAATTTCCTAATTCAAATTAGAATTTACTATATATGTGTGTGTGTGTGTGTATGTGTGTGTATACACATTGTCTTCCAAAGTTACATTTCTCAACAAAATTCAATTCAAGTATTTTTATCATGGTTGATATGCAAATACCATAATTCTCATGTACCAATCTTCACCAGTTTTCCAACTTCCTCATGAAGATGACTGGTGAGTAGCAACGAGAAATATCTCTCTCTCACACACCCCCGCACACATATACCTACTACCGCTTCATCACCTCTAGATTGGCCTTGCATTTGACCTTGCTGTTTCATCATTTTGGACAATACATTAGAAAAGAAAACATTATAGTATACATATTATTATTAAAGTTTGTGTGCTGATTATTTGTGATTTGGGTATTATTTAATTTGTGTAAAAGCTTTTCTGGCTGAAGATACCAATCATTCTTCTGCTATTAAACTCACAGTAACTGATCATTCTTTGTGCATTCTATCCAAGCTGGATCCTCCAGATAGCCACTGCCTTTTCCTCAAGGGAGCGACGGTGGCTTTCCTTAATGATGAAGTTTGGAATTTGTCAAATGTACAACAGGGAAAATATCTTTATATCCTTTTTTTCTACTGACTTGAGTTTCTGGCTTGAAATTTACCTTGTATTCTCATCATTAAGTTCTTTAATAATAATAATAATAATTAATAATAATAGCAACTAACTTTCATTGAACATGCCAAACAATGTTCCCAGTGCTTTATAGGTATTAATTTATTTAAATATTAAAACAGCCCTGTGAAAGTTAAGTACTACATTATCCCTGTGTCACAGGTAAAGAAACTGAAGGATAGAAAGGTTAGTACATGCCTAAGGATGTAGCTAGCAAGTGGCAGGACAGGAATCACACCCAGGCAGTCTTGCTCGTTTCTGAATGAGAAACTATAGAATACATGGAAGAGTTTGCTTCGTTTTTAACCTGGCATTATGGAAATTACAGATCACTTTGACAGGCTGCATCTTTACTCCTATGGTGGTGCCATTGCGTTAAACATTTCAGAATAGTTATCAAAGTTAAGAGTTTGTGGGGTGTTTTTTTTGTTTTTTGGGGAGTTTTTTTTGGCTGCGCAGCTTGTGGGATCTTGGTTCCACGAGCAGGAATTGAACCTGCCTCCCCTGCATTGGAAGGGCAGAGTCTTAACCACTGGACCACCAAGGAAGTCCCATGTGGGGTGTTTTTAAGAATATCAACACTAGGAAATCTTCATCAAATGAACATGGGTTTGATTTTTTTAAATGAAAGTGATTCAGTAACAAATCTAGTGAATGAAATCGATCATTCCATTTTGGTAAAAGTAATGAAAAGTTTTCTTGAGAATATGAGAGCAGTTCCAAAAGAAAGGTCCAGACCTCTTTAGAGCAGGGTCAACTTAAGAATAAACGTTTTATTTCTAAGACGCCTGTTTTAAAGGCAGCTGTACGTGGTAAAAACTTTAATATATTGGATAAAAAATAAGTTCTCATTACTTAATAGAATATAATTGTGCGTGAAGAAAGAGACTTGCACAACCGTATGTTTGTCTCACTGAATATCATTCTTTATTTTTATTAAATGTGCATTGTTACAAACACGTGACGTGTACAAAGGCCAGCCTCCTCTAAGAGCAATGGCAGACTTAATAGAGCTTTCAAATAGTTGAATAATATTTAATTAGTATACTGCATATGTTGAGTTTTAAAGAGTACACATTTCAAAACCAGAACGTCCCCTTAATGTAGTGAATGTATGTGTTTAATGTATTTCTGATTAAATATTTTCATATTAAATTTGGAAAATAAACTTAATTTTTAACTTTCTAAAAGAATTCTTTAAATTTCAACTTTAAATAATGACACATTCAATAACATTGTAATTATCAAGAATACCATGGGATGTTAATGACAGAGACCATGTATTAAAAGTAACATAAGTTAGTATGTTTTGAATCTTTCATGTCAGAAGGTGGCCTGGCTGCTATGCCTGCGTTACTTAATAACTTAAATCTCTCACCTGCTCCCCTTTCTCCCCACCATGAGATTTTAACCTGTTTGACAAATCCATGGGCCATACTGAAACGTGCCATGTTCATATGAAATGTTAAATTTCCTGGATCAGACTTCAGTCCTCACTCGTGCACACCCCCTCAGCTGCATCACACGAGCCAGTTGCTGCTTGTGATTTAACATAGCAGTCTCCTTCCAGTTGTGTGACTATATGCCATAAATAATTCTCCTGTCCTAGCAGTTATATAGACTCTCAGTTCTAATATTATAATTTCAAGTAAATGACTAGAGTTTTAAATTTTACCCTGCTTTTTAATTCTCTTAGTGGCATATATTACACACACAGATTATTAACTTTCCTGCATATGTATTTATTAGCTGGTTTAATAAATAAATGTGCACCCAAAGTAAGAGAGATAAGTGCTAAAATTGTTTTTTAACTAAAAATAACGTAAGTGGCGCTAAAATGAAACCCTGACCCCATTCTGTTACCATCCATTTGGGATAACACTAGTCATTACTTATGACAGGCATTAGGCTTCTTTCATGTCTTGTCCTTAGAAGTTTAGGCTCTATAATAGTCACCGTCTCTCTCAAATCAGTTCCCCCATTTTCCTGTTTTAAAGGTAAACATGACAGCTTACAGAATTTCTATTAAAAAAAAAAAATAGGTGACCTGCCTAGTACCTTCTGCTTATCAAATGGCTTTATTTACTCCTCTCTCCTTTACGTTGCCACCTTAACAGTCTTTCCAGCTACGTATCTTAAAAGATGTGATGGAGAAGTTATCAACTGGTGTTTTTAGGTATGCTAAATGACCAAATTATTGTTCTTGCTTATTTTTCTATTCTCCAGGAGATAAAATGGGCATTCCCATTTTTGTTTCCGCTTTCTCAGTACACCTCTTGCCTCCATATTTTATTATTTTGCTTAGATAAATAGCTGCTCTTTAGTATTTCTCGAAGTGTATATACACCAGTATGCATTCCCTAAGATAGACGTGGTTCGTTAGTTTTTCTTACTCCATTCCATACTGTACCTCACCCTTTGCTTATCCTCATCACCCCTCCCAAAGCAACTTGAAATAACCTACAGGTTGACAAGAAGAAAAGTACAATTTTTTTTTCAGCTGGATCTGTTTATCAAAAAAGAGAGAATGCATAAAATAGGTATTTTCCCCCCTTCAAAATTTAACTGCTTTTAACAGTGGAAATATTAATGGACAAATTTGATTTAAAGTAATAGAGTTGAACTATAGCAACTTTAAACTACTATGCTATGTGCTCTATTCGTCTTTAACTAGACATTTCTAATAATTTCATTCTTCCTCAGACCTCAGTTGGATGAACCCATTCCACTATACGAGGCAAAAGTTACCATGGAAGTTGTTCAGAAAAATCAAGGAAGAAAGAAGCAAGTTGTTCAATTTTAATTTTGTTCTTTCTCAGACCTCAGTTGGATGAACCTATTCCAGTATTGAAGCCAGAGTTTCCTTGCCAATTGCTCAGAAAAGTCAAGGAAGATAAAAGCAAATTTTTATGTTTTTAAGCACGTTTTCCTGCTGAGACACGATGCTCAGAGTTATCTGAAGTTATTTGAAAAGTATTTGGAAACATCGTACAGACGGGTCAAGACAATTCTAAAATTTAACATCTAAAGGGAATATTCTGAAAGCCTTTTAAATTATTGTTCCTATATATTTGCCTCTTATAAAATTCTTTACATGAAGAAGACTGCTTTCAGCAGAAGCCACGCTACTCTGATAAAGCTGTTGGAGTCTTGCTATGTCAAAATAACATTACTTTTGTTATCAACTCCATTCTCAACCCCTTCCTTCTTTAACATCCTTTGCTGTCGTAATTTAATACTTTGAATATATTTTCAAGTCTCAAAGGATCTAGCTCATTGAAAGCTAAATTTTTTTTTCAAATATTCATTCACTCCAGGGTTTCCTCAGGATCGAACGGGAGCATCACGGTAACTCGTCCGTGACCACTGCAGTGTTTGCGTGGAAGGCTGCAGTGCCGATGCTTGGGAAGCGGGGCGGGAGACTGCGCTTGCGTAGCCGGCGTGCTGATTTCCTGTTGGGGCTCTCTGTTTCGGGGGAAGGGGAAGGAGGCCCAGGCTTCCCTCTCCAGCTCTGGACGTCGCCGCTGCGCTCTGGAAGCTTATCGAAGGGGCAGCTCAAGTGTGACGTTTCGTTTTCATCCTGGCGCCGTGCCTGGGGCTCATCACACCCTGCTGCGGATTTGAACAGCGCTCATCTATTCCGGTGCGCAGGACTGCGTGCTTCCCAGCCACCTAGCACCCGGCGACCCGACTACAGCTGAGGACCCAACCAGACCGCCAACGCGGCGTCCGGCGAGGCCCAAGGCCCTCCCGTGCCCTCGGCCTCAGAGGAACACAGCCGGGGGCGGGGTCTCGCGAGCGCCGTACGGCACACGCGCCGAGAGACGCCGCGGGGGCGGGGCTACGTCGGGGCGGGGCCGCGGCGCGCGGGAAGCGCCAGCGGTTGCTGAGGGTCGGGTCCTCGGCCTCCGAGGCGCGTGATGGCACTGTCGGTGCCCGGCTACTCGCCCAGTTTCAAAAGGCCGCCAGAGACATTGCGGCTCCGACGGAAAAGGGGCCGGAGCCTTGGGGCCGCCTCCCCGACCGAGGAGCGGCCCGAGCCGGCGACCCGCCGCGCCGCCCTGACGGCCGGGCTGCCCCTCCGCCCTTTCCCGGCAGCGGGCAGAGGCGGCGGCGGCCCGGCCGCGTCCCGAAGGAACCCCTTCGCCCGCCTGGACAACCGGCCGCGGGCCGCCGCCGAGCCTCCCAGCGTGCCGTCCCGCGGCCAGCAGGAGGCGCCGGGCCCGGTGAGTGTCTTCGTGCCTGGGAGCCGAGGGGCTCTCGTAGTTCGTGGGTCGATTCGGCTGTGAAGTAGAGATGGCGGGTTCTCGCGTTCCAGGAGTGAAATGGGCGCGAAGCCGAAGCCGCCCGCGGCCTCAGGGGGCCCCGAGCCCTGGGGGTGGCTGCCCTGCGAGGTCGGGGCGGCGTGAAGTGCGCTTCGCAAGCTGCCGCGGGACTTGCGGGGCCTTCCCGTCCTGAGGAGTGGACCCCGCCGCCCCGCCCGGCGCGCGGCGGGGGAGTTTGGGCTGCAGCCGTCTGGTGGGGGGTTGGAGATGAGTGGGAAGAGAGCTCCGAGTAATCCTGGCACTACTCCTGGAAGGCCACCGTTTGATGGGAAGGTTACAGGACCCTCTTTCCTGCGTGATTCAGTGCCTGCCTTCTCACGCGCTCAAAATTATTCTGGGGTTGGGGGAATGTTGGGTATTGATGGGGTCAGAATTTACTAGTATTTGTCTTACTCCACAACCTTTTGGATCTTTTGAACTGAGATTATTGATTACTGAGTTTTTAGTTGCGCAAATCACCTGCCCTTTTCTTGGTCCATTTTGATAGTAAGGTTCAGGCACAAAACAAGTGAAATCCTCTGTTACACTGATTTGCGCTCACGTGAATTCCTGCACTTGCTGAGAAACTTGTATGCCAGGTGAAGGTCTACATGTTTAAAGCGAACTCCAGCATCATTTATAATTTAAAAGGACCATTTTTTAACCTCAGTTTTTAGATTCTAATCAAGAAAATGATTTGCTCTGGGAAGAGAAGATTCCTGAAAGAACAGCCGTTACTGAATTACCCCAGGTAATACTTTTTAAATGTCATTAGAGTGTATATTCTTATAACATAAGCGTATACTTCTCAGAAGTGTTTTACCTGGAAAATAGTTTCACAGAGAGCCCCAAGTGATCATCTCTACCAGGGTTGAAAAGATGGCAGGCATCAGCCTTGGTAAAGGACTTTTATGTTGTGGTAATGTTTATAATGGCACCAGTGCCAAAGCAGGCATAGATGTGGGTTTTCTTTCTGCCCCCAACAGTTTTCACGCTCTTCTGTAGGTAGTGACAACTCCAGCTCATCACTCAGAGCCAGTGCCTCCAGGCTCAGCTGCTTTTTGAACTTAATCCTTCACTGCATCTTCAAACCAAATCCCCAAATGAGTTCCACGGGTTGTGGTATATCACTGAACCTCCCTACCACCACCATACACACAGAAACGCTTCTTGATTCCATTCCTCAGCTGCTTCTTTCGTGATAGTTTAACAAATGCATAGATTGTCCTAATGGGAGCAGGCTAGAAGAGTTCCCAAGACCCAGTCTCCCTTCCTTGCAAATAAATGGCCTTCGGGTCTCTTGGAAAGAGTTCCCTCTTCCCCGTTATTTTTTAATAATGTCATCTAGAAGAATTATTGTAACGTGGAGAATACTGACTTGACAGCAAAACAGTTCGGGAGGAATTTTTGAGGTCGGCAAATGCTTCTTAAATATGGCCTCTAAGAACCCAACCTAAGTTACCTGCAAGAGCAACTTAGACCTGGTTCCAGAGTTTTAGAGGCTTAAAAAGTGCTTTTTAAAAAATACTTGGAAGATTTCTGCTTTGATAGCAGTATCAATAGTAGATGTTTTTAAATCATGATCGTGAAAATAGTACGTCTCTTGTACCTAAACTATATAGAACTATAATAAACTAAAAAGTGAAACCTGCCCTTCCACCAGCCTCAACAAGAAATTCCCACTTTCCAGAGATAACATCACTGTTAACGGTTTAGTGTGGCTCTTTCCAGACTCTTTCACAGTGTGTAGTATATGTTCAGTGTTACTTATTGTACCGTTCATAACATTTTGAAATTTCAGTGGTCATGAGTATGTTAGTTGATGAATTCTATAAATTGAAGGGTTTTTTTCCTTGGTACTCTACTAATTTTTGTGTTCTTTGTTTTCTGAAAGACTCCTCATGTATCATTCTCCGAATCTGATATTCCATCCTCAGAAAGTACTGAGTTACCTGTGGACTGGAGTATTAAAACTCGACTCCTTTTCGCCTCTTCTCAACCCTTTACCTGGGCAGATCATTTGAAAGCACAGGAAGAGGCTCAAGGTGTCATCCAGCATTGTAGGGCAACAGAAGTTACTTTGCCTCAAAGTATACAGGTAATTCTGTAAGAAAATAGCTATGCTTAAAAGTAACAAATTAAGTGTAAAATGTACTTCTCTGCAAAATATCAGAGATATTTCCTTCCATTAAGTTTTTCTTTTGACATTTAAAGACACAGAGACTTGGGAAATTTTTTGTTTCTCAAATGCTGCTTTCATACTGTTTTTTAAATCAGATTTAGTAACTGCCTGTTAAATTTATAGACCTGTCCTGAGAATTAGTCACTGCTGCAGGCAGGAATTGTTTGAACTACACTATCCTTTTCTAAGGCCTTTTGAGAAAGAAAATATAAGGAAATGAAAAGCAGTTGAGGAGTAGGATTGCAAAGACAGATTGGTTATTTTACTGGTTTTCTCACATAATGTATACTGTATTTTTTAAATGCACTAATTCTTACCACCTGGGTGATGGTCTGTTGTAAATTTACAAGAGTTAATGAGTGCTAGAAAGGTTTTAGAGAGAAATGTAATTGCATTACTTTCAAGCAGCTCATCAACTCAAACTAGGTTAAAAGATTACCTGAAAGAGGCCTTGGTACATCTTTTTTGATAAATAGATCCATATGATTTGTGATTGGGATTATCGGTTTTTATTGGCTACTTTTGAAACAGTTGCTATGAGGGGAGGGGGTTGAATATAGTGTTACACATACACACGCACACACACACACACATCCACCCACCCACCCACCCCCGCCGCAGCCGCCACCCCCTCCCACCACCACCACCACCTGCCCTGGTGATAAAGAGTGATAGTCACTGTTCTCAAGGATGGTAGAGACAGGCGAATATTCCCATCTGCGTCTAAGCATCCCTTCTGGTATGTGGTTTAACAGACTGTAATGGCTGGGAAGGAAGGTTTTCCCAAACAATAATAAACTACATTTTAGCCCCTGTAACAGTTATTAACACTTTCTTACAGGAAGCAGTAAAGATCCTAAGTGTTTGGTATATTCAGTGTCTTTTTAATTAAATTCTGTATTTCTACTGGGGCAAGAACTGTCGAATTATCATCTTTGTATTTTAGGATCCCAAACTCTCCACTGAGCTCCGTTGTGCCTTCCAGCAGAGCCTTATCTATTGGCTCCACCCTGCCTTGTCGTGGCTACCATTGTTCCCTCGTATTGGAGCTGACAGAAAAATGGCTGGAAAGACAAACCCTTGGTCAAATGATGAAACCCTGCAACACATTTTAATGAGTGACTGGTAAGATTAGCAAAAATTTGTGCAACCCATTTTAGCAGTATTTTCTCCTTATTTTATTTATGATGTGGAGATGAGCAGTAGTAGATGGATTTCTGTGTCCTTCTGAATTATTTTATTTAAACTGTAATAACTAACATTTAAATTGTTTACTTTTGGGGAATTCCCTGGCAGTCAAGTGGTTGGGACTTGGCGCTTTCACTGCTGTGGCCCAGGTTCAATCCTGGTCAGGGAACTAAGATCCCACATGCTGCGTGGTGCAGCCAAAAAGAAAAAAAATGTTAATTGTTTACTTTTTTTAGCTCTTATTCACTCTTTTTTTTAATTTTAATTTTTTTTTGACCACACTGCACAGCTTGTGGGATCTTAGTTCCCTGACCAAAGGGATCGAACCCATGCTCCCTGCAGTGGAAGCGCAGAGTACTAACCACCAGACGGGGAGGGAATTCCCAGCTCTTGTTCACTCTTTACGTAGTTGTGGAATATATATATAAGTGTTTGATAAATATATAGAGACCTAATTCTTTAACGTTATTATACTTTTTGCCAGTAGCTGCTTCCCTTCTCATCAGTGGAAGCTACTTATTAAAAGTCAGCAACCAGGGCTTCCCTGGGGGTGCAGTGGTTGAGAGTCCGCCTGCCGATGCAGGGGACACGGGTTCGTGCCCCGGTCCGGGAAGATCCCACATGCCACGGAGCGGCTGGGCCCGTGAGCCATGGCCGCTGAGCCTGCGCGTCCGGAGCCTGTGCTCTGCAATGGGAGAGGCCCGCATACCGCAAAAAAAAAAAAAAAAAAAAAAAAAAAAAAGCTTTAAAAAAGTCAGCAACCAGGGCTTCCCTGGTAGCGAAGTGGTTAAGAATCCGCCTGCCAATGCAGGGGACACGGGTTCGAGCCCTGGTCCGGGACGATCCCACATGCCGCGGAGCAACTAAGCCGGCGGGCCGCAACTACTGAAGCCCGTGTGCCGCAGCTACCGAAGCCCGCACACCTAGTGCCCCCGTGCTCCGCAACAAGAGAAGCCACTGCAATGAGAAGCCCACGCACCGCAACAAAGAGTAGCCCCCCGCTTGCTGCAACCAGAGAAAAGCCCGTGCGCAGCAACAAAGACCCAACACAGCCAAAAATAAATAAAATAAAATAAATTTATTTAAAAAACAAAAGTCAGCAACCAGTTATCAATTAAATTTTGTTTAAAGAAAAAATGGCTAGTGTTTAAATGGTAAACACTGTTCGTTAAAGTATTTAGAAGTCATCAGTGAGTCCTGTGACCAATTTCAGTCCTTTAAAAAGCCAAGTTCTATGTCATGGCAAAAATTCAGACCATTATCTGTAATATTTGTGTTTTAAATCAGGTGAGTATCAAATTAAATTATACAAAAAAAATTTTAGATGTTGAGTTAGTTTTAACAATGCCTAAAGAAAAATGTTTTTCTTCATAGGTGTGTGAGCTTTACTTCTCTGTATAATCTGCTGAAGACAAAACTTTGCCCCTATTTCTACGTTTGTACCTATCAGTTTACTATCCTGTTCCGTGCAGCGGGATTAGCAGGAGATGATGTAATCACGGCTCTCATGTCTCCTACAACTAGAGGTATAAGAGAAGCTATGAAAAACGAAGGTAAAACTATAGGTTTAAAGTGAGAATACCACACTATATAGTAAACACTCCTTAAAAGCTAAAATTTGAACTGTCTTTTAGCAGTTGAATTATCTTCTACCAGTTTTATCTAATTGTTTTAAGAATTATTTTATTCATTTTTTGATTTTTTTTCCAGCGTTTAATTAAGCTGTCCATTATACATAGCTTTAAGTTGTGTTCCCTTCTCTGATCTCTAAACATATATCAAGCTGGAATGTCCCAATCTGAATATACTCCTATAGAAATTCTTTTATAGTACAAATTATCTACCCCCTTTTGATAACATGATCTTTAAAGAGGGTCACCTCATTAGTGGGTCATGAAATCTATTCAGTGGACTCATTCAGCACCTTATAAAAAAATGAAATAGAGTAGTATATACCTGATGAAAGAGTACCACATGTAGTGAGACTATGTATTGTCCTGAACCATTTGTTTCAAGGAGATATGTGTGTTGTGAGCTGCCGTCAAGAAAGCATGAAAAGTACTGCTTTAATACATCAGGAGTAAAAACTCATTTTCAAATATACTCTCTACAAGTCAGGCACGCCTGTTTAATTCCTTCAGATTATATTAAAGAAAACATAGTTACATTTTTCTTTTCTCATGTAGGTATTGAATTTTCTTTGCCTTTAATAAAAGAAAGTGGCCATGAGAAGAGGAAAGAGTCTGGAACAAGCTTGGAACATGGGGAGTATGTGATTAAAATAACCTTTTACATCATCTGGTGACTTATGGATTCAGTGTAGAGGAAATAGCTTTAGGAAATGGGAACCCTGACTGACTATAGCAATTTCCTAGGGAGCAAGCAGTCAGCGATGAGGATGAAGAAGAAAGTTTTTCCTGGCTGGAAGAGATGGGTGTGCAAGATAAAATTAAAAAACCAGATGTACTTTCTATCAAGCTGTATCCTTTCAGTTGCTGTTAACTAGAATTTATTTTCATTGAATTAAGTTAGCAATGTAATTTTTTTTTTTTTTTTTGGCCGTGCCACACAGCATGCAGGATCTTAGTTCCCCGACCAGCTGCCCCCTGAAGTGGAAGCGCAGATTCCTAACCACTGGACCGCCGGGGAATTCCCTTGAGCAATGTAATACTGACTGACAGTTTTATTTAACTATAATCTTAAACTATCTTTAAGATATTAAAACTGATACTCCATCATGACATTAAAAACCCCTAAGTACCAAAAAGCCATGAACAATTATTAAACTTTTTTAAGTGAAAATATTCTATTTTGGTTAAGTTTGTGAGGGAACTGGAACGTATTTTTGACTAGAGAAGAAATCAGTTTTTGTTAGGTATCAATTTCTAGCTAATTCAGATGGTCAAAAAAATCATTTTGATCATTCAGATGCCTTATAATTGCAGTGAAGAGGATTAGCAAGAGCATTTCCAGTTTGGAGTGGGGGAAGAGGGTTCCAGGTGATTCAGGATTAAGATAACTGCTGTTCCTTTTGGTATGGGATTTGCCTTTGCAGTTTCCTTGATTGTCATGTCCAGGCGTAAAGAGATACACGAAGTACAAATGGATCACAGACCCGAGTCTGTTGTGTTGGTGAAGGGAACAAATACCTTTACATTGCTAAATTTTTTGATCAACTGTAAGAGTTTAATTGCTACCTCAGGTCCCCAGGCAGGACTTCCACCAACCCTCTTATCACCTATAGCTTTCCGAGGCGCCACAATGCAAATGCTTAAGGTAATAAAAAAAAAAAAAAGAAATTCTACACTGATCCTCATAACCTAGCTTTTAAAGACATACTTTTCCTTTTTTGATAGGATAAATTCTTGGTATTTTAGTAACTCCTGACATTTTTACATGGTGCATATTTTCTTTTTCTTTCCTCCCAGTAAAAAAATTCCTTGATATAAAGTTATTATCAAAGGAATTATATGAAAAGTTATATTTGAATTATTGCCATAAGGAAAAGTTGCTTTCTTAAAGTTTGTCTTTCATAACCAGTGAAAGAATAGAGCCAAGAATGTTATGTTAAATTATAGGTGGTCTCAAAAACTGGATAATGGATAAGTGAAAAGAATAACTATATATCCATATTGTTGAAGAATTACACATGTAATTTTCATGTGTGTTACATATGCTGAAGGTAATAGCAACAGAATCTAATTTTTATTTTCCTAATATTATGCATTGAAAGTGCATTAATCAGAAAGGATACCATATTAAAGTTACATTCTCTAGAATACTTAAATTGACAGCCTCATAATTTGGAGGAGAGGATGCTGGAAACAGAATTACTGAGCATTTTTTACTCATGTAACATTCTTTTGATGTCTTATGAACTACTTTTGTTCCTTAACTGTTAAAGAGAGGAATACCCAAATGAGAAGTTATTGATCACATTTTTAGTTAGGGACAAAAGCTTGAGAGATGACCATAATTTTCTTTAAATTATTTTTGAAGGCGCGAAGTGTAAACGTGAAGACACAAGCTCCTTCTGGATACAGAGATCAATTTAGTTTGGAGATTACAGGTCCTGTCATGCCTCATTCTCTACATTCAATGACTATGCTACTCAGATCTTCACAGAGTGGGTCATTTTCTGCAGGACTGTATACACATGAGCCAACTGCTGTATTTAATATCTGCCCACCAAAGGATAAAGTACTGGATAAGGTAAGTAGACAGCTGGTAAACACATTTAGTTGCAGTTTTCTCAAACTAAATGGATGAAGTCAGTCATTTATGATGAGCCAAACTGGTGTTTCAAGTTATTAAACTGTACTGCTTAATATTATCAATTACAATTACTAAGAGGGAAGGGATAATGACTATAAAGTTTTTTTGTGTGTGAGGTAAATTTTATGAATTCAGGCTGTTGCATTCAACACTGACTAAAGAACTTCCCAAACAAAAGGCAAGTTTTCATTGTCCTCTCAGATCCAGAACCTAACAGTGCCTGCTTGCTTACTGTGGGGGCGGGGGTAAATAAATAATTATGGGTTTTTATTTAGCCGCATAGGCCTTTTTTTCTATAAAACTTTTTCTTAGATTCGCAGAGGGATGAGCTGCTTGTTTCATGTGATCCAGCAGTTTCTAGATATGTATCCACACTTTAATAAAATTGAAGTGGCTGCTTTACAACATATCTGCCTTTAATTTTGGACATATAGCTTTTTACTTAGAGGTAATGAGACCTTTAAAACTATTTTCATCCGTTTGCCAGACTTATAAAAATAACCAAAATTATTATTTTTGGGTGCTGTCATTATGCAGAAATTCTTAGGATGAGCTTCTATTGATAATGATAACAATGAATTTGCCCTTACTGAATAAGGCGTCTATTTGTCAAAGAGCCCATGGTAATTTTAAAAACTCATCAGTGTTCAAGGACTCTGACAGTGCTTTTACTGACTTGCATACCATTTTCCACAGGAGGCTGTTCATGAGGAGCTTGCCAACTGTGGATTGCACCCTAAAACTCTGGACCACCTTAGTCAAACACCGATACTGGGGAAATCATCTTTACGGCATGTGGCAATGAGTGACTACATTTATAATTGGAGATCCTGAACACCAAAGTAAGCCTAAACGGAATCTTTGAGGAAAAAAGCCTTCTAGCAAGGAAATTCAAGATACTTGTATCTTTGGCTTTAAAGTTCACTTTGGAAGTTTAAAGGAATATAGCTTTAAAAATACTCAAATGTTTACAAACATTAACCTTTTACAATACTTTTATTACATGCGCTAAGCAGTAAATAGGATTAAGGTTTCAAAATCAACATTTGTTTTTACTCTTTTGATTAAATATTCAGATATGAAGATAAACTTTTTAAAAACTTCAAAAACCGGGCTTCCTTGGTGGCGCAGTGGTTGAGAGTCCATCTGCCGATGCAGGGGACACGGGTTCGTGCCCCGGTCTGGGAGGATCCCACATGCCGCGGAGCGGCTGGACCCGTGGGCCGTGGCCGCTGAGCCTGCCCGTCCGGAGCCTGTGCTCCGCAACGGGAGAGGCCACAACAGTGAGGGGCCCGCGTACCACAAAAAAAAAAAAAAAAAAAAAAAAACTACAAAAACCTTGAATGAAAATTCTAGATCCATTAACCTAATTAATAAATTGGGTAGAAAACTGAGTGTTTCCTTGCAAATGGAAGTTGAGGCTTAGTATCAATTATCTCATGCCATTGTGACTAACAGCATCAGGGAAAACTATCTAACAATTTCCTTAGGATTACTAGCAAGTTCTAGTTATAAAGGTAGAAAACAGATGTAGACAGTATCTACTGAGCTGATTGTTGACGCTTCCACCTTAGTTGTTTTCCCACCTGTTTACAATTCCTCTATTCTCAATACATATTACTTGTTTTAATGCATGTTAACTCAGATAAGGGTATTTTGTATTCCATATAGAATAGGGTTAAGAGTTGTAAAGTATGCTCAGCTGTCATGACAAAGTAGTATTTAATATGTTCTTGTAGGTATTTGTGTATGTGTGTGTATATATATATATATAATTCAAATTTTCTTAAATAAAAGTGCTTAGAAATCAAAAGCATTGGGTAAAGAAGTAACAGTAGTGAAGAAGTATGTGTTCACTTTGTAATCCAGAAAATAAACCACCACATTTATTCCAGAGAAGTTTATATTTGGGCCTTAAGCTTTTGAAAATAAAGTTTAGAGACATAGCATATGAATACCACTGTAATACACATGAAATATTCTATCAGACCCTAAAAATTAACATAAACTTAAACTTTCTCATAGTCAACAAAATAGTGGCTGGGAGCCGATTTTATTAGATAAGTTGGTTACAGCATTTTAATTATCATTTTACGTCTATCTAGGTGTAGCTGAAATTCAAAATGCACATCAAAGTAAAACTATATCACAACTCAATGCCATACTAAATGTACTTGGCCTCTGCAGTAAAATTCTAGTCAGACTTCATTTTAACTCCCTTCTCATTCATGGCCCAAGTGGCTTTTGACAGAAACGCAGGACTTAGTGCTGACCATCACACAACATACCACTTTCTTTTTTTTATAACCTCTACAAAATTTAAAGGGGATACAGAGGCGTTAGCCCTGTGGAACAGATCTTGTTTGATTACCTCAATAACACTGGCCCAGTATCTGTCCAGCAGAACCCATTGTGAACTAGTACAAGGTGCACAGCCCTTCACTGACTACAGGCAAGTGTTACAGCAGCCTAGCCATAAGTAAGGGGAGTTGACATCATAGTACAAAATACAGTATAAAAGCGTTATTTAACATTCCACACTGAAGATTACGGATGCCTTCAAACAATCGTTTGGATGTTAGCCACTTAAACAAATACATCACTAAGGTAAACAATATAAACATACCAAAACCTTGTATGGTTAAATACAATTTCCATGGTACAAAAATCAAAGCCTGGAGATGTTTGTACAGATTGCTTTTTACACAATGTCTTAAATTGCCAAATATTTACAACATTAAAGAGGAAATACATTTTGATGCAGAGTAAAATTATCTGAAATGATTAATATAAAACCTCAATCTATCTACGTGAGGCACTCCTGAAGCAAGTGGCATTAGCCATGAGGTCCTTTGGTACAAGGCCCATTGCTTGAAGAACCACAGTAGCTGCTGTGGCTTTAGCATGCTTCTTATTAGGGCTGGCAAAGCTGGGCTGGTAAGCGCTTCCATTTATCAATACCTATTCAAGAAAAACATACAATTGGGCTGGTAAGGGCTTCCATTTCTCAATACCTATTCAAGAAAAACATACAATAAGAACAGCATCAAACTTTAATATCTATTAGCTTTGTAATTTTTTCACTAAATGCTAGAAAGATAATTTACAAAAATATAAAACCCATACCATGTAAGTCAAATAAATCTCAACCCTAAAAGAAGCAAATCATTTGGGAAAAGGGACTTGACTGCAAATTAAGAGCAGGTCTCCAAATTGAAGCGCGGGGGGCGGGGGGGGGCACAGCGGGAGGGAAGCCTGATAAAAACAATTAGTTCCCCACATTCCACTAGAAAAGGTCAACAAATTGTTCACCAGATTTTGCCCACATCTTTCCCGCCAACATTTAAAAAATAATAGGATATTAACAGGTCACATTAAAGCATATACACATATACACACTCCCAACCCACAAACAATACATTAATCCTGTGATCATATAATGCTTATCCCTCACCCTCTAACATCAAGTTATCAAATTAACAAATGTATACAATTAATGCAGAAATTCATATTTACCCTAAAGAGAAAATGTTTGCGATGATCAGGGCCACTATCATGGACCAAGAGAAATTCAGGTGGTTGCCACCTTCTCTTATTACAGATTTCCATCAAGGCAGACACAGGATGTTTGCCTGCAGAGAAAAAAATAACCAGTTATAATTATCTCCACATCTGAGGCAACAAATTTGAATTCAAGGGGAAGGTGGAACAAGAAGAAATTCAAAACTGTACTCTCACCTGACAGATCTTTCATTGCGGCAGAGAAGTTTCCAGACCTCTTTTGTGCTCTTTCTCCTACTGCAACAAGACCTTAGAAAAAAACAATGATCACTGAATAAATTTCAAAGCGTTTAAAATTACAATATAGCGAAACAACTACTCCCTCTATAGGAAACTGAACCTCAATCCCGGCCCTCAAATAGAAGTCAACACCCACCCACTACCCTTGATCTTGACTTCTATTTTGTTGTTTCAATACGTAAATCTATACATTGTCTTCATTTATCTTAGTATTGGAAATTGTACAAAATTAAAATTTTCAGAGAAGTTAATGTGAATACATAAATTGCTATAATTATCAACAACCCCAGATCTGTTTCTTCCTAAGTTTAAAAAGTAGTGGCTCTTTGCAAATGATTTCTAAAGGTTTCTCATCCCTTGAAAAATGATGCTCAGTTTAAGTATGTTCCCCAGAAGTCGAGGATTTTAGGCCAAAAAAAAGTGAGAAAGGCTCTCGTGGATAAATGGGTCCATTTCTTTTTCCAGCCAACAAGCCCTTTCTGACTTCAAACGTGAGATGTACTCAAAAGACCAACAGCCTCAGCCTCACTTTCCAAAAGGGGTTTATTTAGCTACATTCCTAACTAAAATCATTTAAATCCTAGGGGGAATTTTTCAACCAGTTCTTTGCCAATTCTGCCACTATGCTTTCCCAAACCCAGGCCACACTGCACAATTCCAAAGGGACTATTCCCTGGAATTATGCAATGCACCCACAGATGTTGTCTTCTCATAAACCACCTTTTATGACACACACAATCTACGCAACTTGTATAGCAGTATAATGTCAATGTGACAATAAGTACAGTGTCGTTTTCTAATTTAAAGTTTGCAATAATGCTGCATTACTGGATGATTGTGTTATTTCCAGCCTATTTCCGAGTATCACTATTACAATAAATTCTCTCCAATTTGGAATAAAATGGCAACATATTATTCTTGGTAGATGACAATGTAGAAATTCTGATGCAAAACATTTTTTTAAAATACATAATTTAGTCAGAGCTAGTTGGTTTCCAAATTCATTAGGACAATAATTTAACTGCATTAACTTCAACTTAACTTTCTGATTACAAAGATAAGGAAAATAAATTAGTTTTAAATTTTCCAGTTTTTAAAAATCAGGTTTAAACAAGCTATTGAAATCACATTTAGCTGGCAGCCCCATGTGATTCTACAATAGACATTATTCCAAGGGAAGAAATGCAATGTGAAGAGGTAACACTGCTGTCAGCAGTGGGTCTACTCTCCAGTCCCAACCAAACAGAACTCAATTACTGAGCTTGAAAAAAGGGATGTGCAAAAGGGGTTTACAAAGTGAAGACTAAACAGAACTCTCTAATAGGAAAATGAGAATATGTGGGATAAATATCTTTGAAAGAAAAAATAAATCCTAGAAACAAAAACAAGCACATGTTCCCTGTCAAGAGAAAACAAAATGGAAATTCTATCTAAATATGAAATCTAATTAAAAACTTAATCATATATTGCACATAACAAAGGTTGTTGCCTTTTACGCTCAAATTAGTGTCTCCATCTATATATAAAGCTTCTGAAAATGGGTTAAACATTTTTTTCCTAACAAAAAGCTATATATACTGTAAGAAGTGCCTCCAGTTCAGGATCACTGACATCAGAAGAATTTATGATAGTAATGAAATCCTAAATGTTAGAGGAGGTATAATAAACATTCTAAAAAAACTTACCTTTTCGGTCTGTCTTAAAATCAACCAGGATAGGTTCCTTATTTCCTTCTTTGTTTTTTCCTAATCCTTCTCCTTCTTTCCAGCCCATTTTTCTCATCAAAACGGCTCCCATTCCTCCAGTTACTGGGGCTGCTCTTAAGAACTGATCCTATCCAAAGAAAGAAAGGTAAAATATCCCCATTTTATAGTTAGAATTTGACTACAAACTCAGTGCAACTTTTTTTAAAGAAAGAAAGCTTATTTTACTTCTAGATCTGTTATAGTTACAGCAATTAAATGCTTCTATACTTATATACATACTGTAGTGTGTATGTTCTAATTATTTTCACATAAACATAACAGTATTTTCAAAGTCCAATAAGTCAAATGGCAGTTTTAAAACGGTGGCCCTTGTGCCCCCCTCCAAAAAAAAAATTAGAACACTCCTGTTTTCGTCCACTATTTAGGTTCACTGGTATCTCTTCTTAGCTTGCAAAATAAAAAGAAGGCAATGTTAAAACAGTCAATAATATTAATTGTCCCAGGTGTACCTAGTTAATGAATAAAGCCTAGAAATCATTCAGAAATAGTCTGGACACTGAAGAAGCATACTGTTATCATCCAAAGTTTTTTCCCCCCATTCTACCATAAATCAAGTATAAATTTTTTACTTAGAAAATCCCTATGAAGCAAAAAGATAACACATAAAATACCCTGTAATTATACCAAACTGAATTTGGAATTCTTTTAAAACCTAACTTGATGTTAAAAAGACTTTTAAAAAACTCCTTAAACGTTTACATACCTAGGCCTCGGTAGCAGCAGTGTTGTGAATAGTAGGGCTGGCACTGACCGGGGCAAGAAGACAGCTACAAGGATTTGGCCCTGAAACAAGTTTCCATACAGAGGGGTGAAAGTTCACAGGTTATTCTGTGAACAGTCATCTCTCTTGTATCCAACCCACTGAACCATAATTTCCATCAAAGCAGCAAACCACTTAATGTCGTAAGATGCACAACTATGTACATTAGCACGGTCAACAGTTATTTTCACACGTTAAGAACTACGTGATGCCTCTTTTTAAAGGGCATCCACGTACATGTAACAAACCACTGAATTCTACTGTTGATCTTTATGTCCATTTTTTTTAAATTTATAACATACATCTCCAAATCATGTTATATTTCCCCTTGCTATTAAACATTCTAGATTTACATTCTCTAGCAAATGTAAGCAAAAGTCATTAACTTATCAACAGAGGCAGTCAAAAATTTTGGTAGCTCTAGAAATAGTATACATTAATCTCCTCTACTGATAAGTTAATACTGAATTTTTAAATCTTGGTTTTACACCATAGTAAAACTGTGTACTGTTATTTTTTCCCAGCTTTTTAATTATCTGCTGGGGAGAAAACATGCCAATGAAGTGTGACTAGACATTAAGTTCAACATGGTACTCTGATGGAAGGAGGCAGCTGTGGAGGTAAAAACATACCCCTGGTTCAGTTCCTTACTTGGTGCAGGCCATGCAGTGTTGGTGGACAGAGAAAAGTTAGCTGATGCTTGGATACCAACTGCCTTGTTGCTACACACCTAAAATTACTTTTACTTACTTCCAGGTTCATCCGCCCCTCTTTTCCAGGAAACACTCCTAAAAAAAAGGGCAACTGTGCAGAGTATAATACAAATCCCCAATAACGCAGGTTTCCGATTTTGTTTCCATTCTCTAATATCTTCAAATCTTTACACCAGTGTGTATACAGTTCAACAAAAAGCTAATTAATGAGACTACAAAAGTAAACAATATTCATCAGGTCATGTCCAAATCATTTCATTCCAGAAAATAAAGCTTCTTTCAAATCAACAACCATTTAAATTTTTTTTTACTAATAATAAAGTCTCATACTTTTTCATCTAAGAATACACTGCAGCAAAGTAAAAAAGAATATGGAGAATGTTGGCATTCCATGTACTCTTTAACATTAAAAGAGGGTGCTGGCCTACAGCAAGGCAAGAAAACACCAAATGAACATTCTGAAAAAGTTTTCTAAATGAAACAAGTAGACAGTTTGTGATACTTGACAGTGAAGATGAATGTTAAATTTCTAGCTGCCTAATGACTTTTTCCATGTTTTTGCTCATTTTTATAAATAAAATGTTCCTGGCCTTAACTGATATTAGCAGCATATATTGTTCAGTAACATACAAATGGAACTGAAAACACTGCTTTCTTCTATAATTATTTAAAAATTTGGTCTGATGAATGAACACATCTTTCTCTTGTGATAACTGATCAGAAATGACTTATGTCTACATCTTAAATGATGTAAATTATTTAAAATGTGCCAACTGTCTACAAGACTGGAAATCAAAAAAAATTAAGGGAAAGTTTACAGGGAACCAATTTAATCATTTTGTAAGAGTTATGTTAAAGCGATGACGTTTAGAAGTCTGTAGCATTATGTATGGATCCGAACTTCACTGCACAAATGAAGACCAACTTTGCAATGGAATCACATTCTGAAGTTTCTACCTAGTAATGTATGTACATGACTATTTAATTATTATGTGCTAAACACCCACATAAACTTCAAGTCTAACTTTCTCAAATATGGAGTACTCAACTTCAACATTAAATAGTATTAAAGAACTAAAATTGTTAAAGAAATAGATGTACATTTATAATTATTCCCAATGAGATGAAAGCCATTTTTCAAGCACTACATGAATCACTTTGGTATCTTAAATACTGTAATATAATTAGTCCAAAACTAATTCAAGCTTAAAAATATTTTGCTAGATTTTCATCTTTTTTCCAACATCAACCCCTAGTAAACTAAGTTGTAATTTTTTTAACCAACTTGACTGTGTACTCACTATATGCATATTGGTGCAACTATTCCCCCCCCCCCAAAAAGGGGGGCAGGCACAGTAAGGATATGCTTTACATTAATTTGTTAAGAAGATCACCAGAGATAATGCTATCAAAATTGAAAAAAAGTTATGAGATTAAAAGGTCCAAAGCAACAAAAAATATGACTTATCAGAAATACTGGCACTCAGCAGTTTTCTATAGGTACCCATCCCATTACTGATCACCACCCTGCGAGGCAGGAAGAAGGCACTTGCAGACTGAAATTCCAAGTAATTACTTGCCACAATCACAAAAGGAGTCAGGAGTACAGCAGGATAAAGAAACCTTCCCAATCCATTAGACCACACAGCCTCCCAGTTTCAGCACTGCTATGCTGCCAGTACTCCTGAAACAAATTTCCCCATCACCCATCCAACCAAGCCACTCCCTTCACCAGAATACATTTTCTTCAGAAAGCCCTCTGTAACCACCTAAGACTCCCCCAACAATGAGGCAGCCGTAGGTGGAGTGCACACGTCTCACTGCAGGAGGAATCTGAAACCAGGAGCACCTACATCTTCACAGCACGAGGCGTCCGTCCTCTCCCTTGAATTTAGGTCTTACATATCCTGTTTTTTCACGAGATCAGCGGTTCTCAAATTGAACCTGTGGATCACCAGAGGCCACCAGGGCCTAAATGGTGGTCCACAGATAGTATTCGCCATCCCCGTCCCACCCGATTCCCCACCCTTCAGCACTGCCCACCCAACACTTCAGCCATCCTCCCCCAGCTTTCCAGACCCCTGGCAAGATCACCACATGCAGCACTAACAATGGGGCCTCCCAACCACGTGCTGTAACCAACAGCTGACAACCATGGGGACCTGGGGCTGGAGATCACAACAGGAATGAGGACTAGGGGCCAAGGGACCTTACAGGAGGGCGCAGGCACTAAGGAAGAGGGGAAGAAGGGCACAGGAATAGAGGAACGGAAAATCAGGTGGCAGAACGCTCTTGGGGGCAGTGCACCAAAAATAAACCTGTAATAAAGTATCCCATGATGAGAAAAAATCTGAGAACCACTGCTTTGAAATCATTAGATTGGTTGTCCAACAGGAACTGTGGAATATTCTGAACAGCACCTGAGATACACTGTTAGCATTCAAAACACAGTTTAAAAAACCACCCCCACAAAACCCAGGAGCAGCAGGATATAAATTAAGTGGCTCTTGAGCCATATTTATACATTAGCCATTGTCTCATCAATCGATCCATCTTCAGTGTCCATCCTGGAGGATATATATACACATAGCAAATTTACCATGAAATGGGTTAGATTCACTGGCCTCTTTCTGCACTTTTAATAAAACATTTTCTTAAAAATTTTAACTTCGTACGTGGACACTTTTGTATGTGCATATGTTGTGTACCTTTTTAATCCAGGCCTGGGCACCAGTATTGGCCAACTGTTCTTGTGTCAGAACCTGTACTCCCGTACTTCCTGTGAACTGGCCAGGAATAGAGTTCAGCTGAGCCCAGGCATCAATCTGAAGAAAAGAAGAGGCCTCAATTAAGTAAAATTACTTCTCTAGTTAAAGTACTACTGGTATTAATTTAATTCCCTAAATGAAATGGTTTACTTAGTTCCCGAAAAGGCTTAATAACAAACTTAAATATTCAACTTTTCAAAAACAATATACTGAATTTGTACATCTTTAAAATTGTTTTCCTAAACATTCCAAAGCAGCAATTCAGTAACTGCTCAGTGGATCCCACTGATAAAATTTGAGATATATCTCTAACAACTAAAAAGCACAGCTGACACTCATTCTTCAAAGTATCACACGGATACATGAAAAATATAGAAAATCACTCATATGGCAAAGGATCCTTGCCCTCCTGCTTACATATCTCATAAACGCATGCTAATTTGACAACCTCAATTTTTAATTACTTTCTTTGAAGTGTTACAAATCGAGAATAAATTCAAGATACATAGTTAGAGAATAATAAACATAGGAAATTGTTCAAACACTGTGATAACTAAAGAATTAGCTGTCATTCATTCAAACTATATTTACTGAACACCCGGTATTGTCAGTCAATGTATTTTCTCTCTGAACATGTACTTACTGCTTCCATATATTTACCATAGAAAAGCAGCCTATGGAGCCGCTGTCCACTGTTAAAAAAGCACAGACTCTGGATTCAGACTGTCTGGGTTTGGATCCCAGTTCCCTACTTAACTAGTTTTGTGACCTTGGGCCTCATTTAGCCACTCTTTACCTGTCTTCTCAGATGGAAAGTGGAAACTCAATACACCTCACAGGGCTATTATGGGCACTTAGCTATTTTTATACATTAGATTATAAATTCTATGAGGGCAGATAATTTTTTCTATTTTTATTCTCTCAAGAAACAGCTCCTGCCCCACAGTACACAACATATACTGAATGATCAAGCCCCAAATCACTTTAAGTGAGCTTGCTAGATAAATGATCATGTAGATATTAAAACTGCTACATACCCGTTCCTGAGCACGATTTAACATGCTCATAGCTTCAAGGTCAAATGCATTCTCGCTGAGTCTTTTCTGAGCAAGTGCCCGCTCACTCATTGCTGTAGAGATGTCCACAGGCTAAGAAAGAAAATACAGATAATTATCTCAAATAACAACAGACCCCCTAAATTCTGAAAAATGCTCATATCTTTAGTTGCTTCATGTCAAAAACAAAATAAGTTTTATTGATTAAAATTTTGTAAAGTAGGGAGAAGAAACTAACCTTGAAAGACAGACAAGGATTGTTTAAGGTAAGTTACAAAGTATCAGGCAGCAGTCGAACTCAACCTAAAATCCGACTTCTTTCTACTACATCAAATTACAATCATAGAAAGTTCCACGAAGAACTTAATCTCTGGCCTTCACTAACAAAACAGTCATTTATAATAAATGCGAATTTTTTAACAATTAATTTTGTAACTCATTAGCATTTTTCATTTTACCCTACTTCTCAGCATAACCCTCAAAAGCAATAAGCAAGGTTCTTAAATAAGCAGAAAACCACTATCACATTAGTGATCGTTCCTTCACTCGTCTGTCTGCACATGTTTTCACCTACTTGCAGTTGTTCATATAGTTTGGTCTTAGGAACTCGGTTTCTTCAAAGAATATATTTACTATATAAGTAAGTGGATCTTTTGTTTTCAGTTTATGTACATTTATGGTGGAAGTTAAAATACTTCTGTGGGGTACATAATTAACTGAAACACTTAAAATACGTTTGAAATGTCTTAGGTCCTCCTTTTCAAAGCTCATATTCTACTTGTAAAAAGCTTAAGCTAAGCAGATGGGACTTAACTTTTTAAGAAGTATCATAATGTCCAAGAAATTTTTAAGGATAATCTTTAGAGCAAATACCGTTATTTGCCAAATTTGTGGAGGGCTCAACCAGAGAAAGAAAAATTTGATGTTTTTGGTTCTAACATTAAGAGGTTAGGTTGATTGATGTGTGTCAACTCACCAATTCTTAATACTTGTTTTTCTTCTAACACTACTTAACCCATTAATATTTTCTAGTATTTCACCCAAGAAAATTCATTTTTGGAAAACCCTTATCTGACATGAAGTATTCCTAAATTCATTTACAAAGAATGACTAGTAAGTACTGCATGGATGTGACAAATACAAGGAAGTCAGTAAAATAACAAAGGTTTTTTTAAAAAGCTAAACTAAGGTTACCTGTAATTTGACTGTGTAGTTGAGTATGAAATACTTCTTTTAAAAATAAGACCTATATAGTTGAGAAGGGTGTATGACTTTGAGAGAATAATTATACCTCATGCATAAAGATTACTAATCTTCCTTTTCCCTATCTTCAGAACCCCTTAATCACTCCATCATTCTTAGTTATCTTGCTGAATCACCTAGTAAGATTCCTTTAGCAAAACTCAATTTTTCTTCCACAAGGTACCAGAAAGTACAGATTTCTATATATTTGCCTTCTTAAAATGAAAGCAGAATTAAACTGAATTCATTCTGTAACTGTTTATTAGACTGCTTACATATCTCATTTATGAAAGGTCCTAATTTCTTAGTCAACTTAGTAAATTATCCACACTAATGAGAATATTTCTGGGGCTATATAAGCAAAGCCAGACTGAAACACTAGAAAACTTAGTAGGTTCACTTTTCACTTCTATTACAATTGTGATCACCTGCTGGGACTTTAAGTGGGAACCCAGATATCTTAGGTCAAAATGTACATTCCTTTGGCCTTAGATGTTAAGATCATCGAAGTAATTTTTGAAAGCCCACTAAATATATCTCAAGTACTGTTCTTTAACCTTGCCAGAATTACTTTGGGTTTCATACCCATCTACAAATCTAAGTGTTAGGGTATTTAGGTATAAAATAATAGGTTTTTATTCTAAAAAGTCGAAACACAGAGGAGATACTGAGGAAAATGCACCTACCCATTACCACCCCAAGCTCCGATCCCCCAATTTCCAACTGTAAATTAGCCATAAAAATGTAGTTAAGATGGCTCCAAAAACTCCCAACTTTTCTAGAATAAAATTACTTCTTCCCAACTGGAAAGCAAATTAACATACCTATCTGTGAATTCTTCCTTCTGAAGACATTTTTATATCTTCATACTTTTTCTCTTTTAACCTTTATTAAGTAAGTAGGTAACCTAAATACCCCATCATCATCCTCAGGATGAAACTTCATTCAAATCTCAGTAATATTATACGTTAAATTCACATCTCACTCTGAAAGGAATTTTTATTTATTTATTTAAATAGTATTTATTTAATATATCAACATTGGGATTTAATGTAAATTTACTTTAGATAAAATTACAACTAGTTTTTTTCCTAATACAACTTCATTTATTCTTCAACAAGCTTACCAAGTGAGCTGTAAGTTCATGTCAAAACTTTATTACCAAATAGTAATTTGACTATTAATTTCATATTCATACTTTTTAATGTGGAAAAATATACTCAAAGTATAATCAATCAGGATTATCTTAATCTCTTAAGGATTCTCAAGAGTTTGTATCAAAAAGCATATTTCCAGGTTTTCAAGGTAACTCAGGATATGCAATAAAAAGCCCCAAAGCAGTAATACTCAAAGACTACACCAAATGTTATGCATCAGTATTAAAACACTCATGAAATATCACAGCTACCCTTTAGAACAGCACTGTCCAACAGAATTTTCTACAGTGAAAGCTAATGAGCACTTGAAATGTGTCTAGTGCAATTAAAGAACTGATTTTTCAGTGGTTCACTTAATGACTACTGTATTGGACTGTATATAGCATTTGTGTGTATATAGTATATAGTAAACTATACAGTGTAGCAGGGCTTTAGAGTCTTAATCATCTTTTAATGTTGCTCAAAAACAGTAATGTGTAAAAGGTACCAAAATGATGCTAAAAGTTTCAGAATGCTAAAAACTGGGGGGGGGAAATTATCTTCAAGTGTACAGAATACTGTTATCAAACTATCATCAAGCCTTATTTATTTCCACTAATACACGACAGACTTTCTATGTAATGTGTAGTAATACTCTAAGTATTATAATGGGGGGAAATGTTTAATTTCCTTCTCCCTAGGACTTGTTCTAAAAGGTGAAATCCACATAAAAGACTATCCTGAATTATAATTCCACTTCTCACATTAATA